CCTAGTGGTGCGTACTCATGATGCACAACACCCCGGTAATCGAAAAAAAAAACAGTATTCACATTGCTCCGAACCTGTCGTGCTTTTTTGGGCCTCAGGGATGTTGGATGCTTCCATTGTGACGCCTGGACCTTGGTTTCTGGGTCATATCCATACACCCACAACTCGTCACCAGTGATCACAGTCTTCAGGAACTGGATCCCTGTTGGCGCACTCCAGCATGTCCTGCGCTACCTCAAGGCGGAGTTATTGCTGCTCCGACGAAAGCAGCTTGGGCACAAATTTTTCCACAATTCTTCGCATGGCCAAATCCTCAGTTAAAATTGTGTTTGCGGAACCTCTGCTGATCCCAGCCTCATCAGCAACTTTCCGGATGGTCAAACGACGGTCCTCCATTATCAGCGTCCGCACTTTTTCAATGACATCAGCATTTTGGCTCGTTGACGGTCTTCCGGAACGCTGGTCACTGTCCGCCGACATACGGCCATCTTTAAAACGGTTAAACCACTCTTTAATTTGAGTGACCCCCATTGCATCATCGCCGAAAGCCTGCTGAATTTTGCGGATTGTTTCCGCTTGGGTATCCCCAAGTTCCTGACAAAACTTGATGCAGTATCGCTGCTCCAAGCGTTCTGTCATCTTGAGCAAAACGAGAGTGCAACGAACACGTGTTAGATCACTTTGCTGTCTGGCAGCCACAGACGCATCCGGCGGTGTTGCGAGTCAGCAAAAAATCACGCATGCGCATGAAAGTCCCTTCTACCACTACGCTCAGTTTCCTCACCCCTTTGGCCATTACTTACAGCAGCAAAAAATAAAGTCGGATACTTTTTGGACAGCGGTGTATACCTATTTGGTTTTTAATAATTTTGGCTTATTTAGCGACCCTGCATTTATTAAAACTATATAGTATCGAATGATATGATTAATGAAGACTGAATTGACGTTTCGGAGAAACGTATCGCTTCCATCTTCGGGGTATAAAAATCCTCGAGCGAGGAACCAGTGTGAGCAGGTGGCTGCAGATGGAAGCGATACGTTCCTCCGAAACGTCGGTTTGCATAATATCTACACGGCGCCACATTCCACAAGACATTTTTCTTCCTTATTTAAATTCATCACATCTGCTGTAAATACCACCAGAATGTTTCAAATTATGACATTTGCCATCAATAATAAAAAAATCCCATGACCCTTGCCACAAGCCATTACTTCCAATCAACAAGCAACGTCTTAACTTTCATACTACCCTTAGGAGAAGGACAAGCAACACAAAATAAAGTACCTTTCATTTCTACCATGATTTCACTTTTGCAGATATTGTTCTACTGCTTTTTCTTATCTGTACCTCAACTTCACGATACAAGGCGCTAATTTAATTCTGATTATTAATTTTTTCGGTTAACAGCAGCATTCCTGCAACCACAGCATCATCTGACTCAATGACCAGCATATATTCGAAAGGGTTTCATTTTAATCCTGCCATTTTATCACTAGCAAAATGACATTCCCGATCTATTTTAGCGAGTGTCTACGAACGGAACTGTTCTGTATTGACGTCATAATCACTTTTGATAACTGATATGCGTATCTTCACGACATCAATCTGATTTCTCCTCTCCAACACGTGACCGCATACTACTGTCAAGGAGTCTGTCACAATAGCAATGGGCATATCTGCAATCACGTATGGAATTAAATCTTAGGATCGTCTATCGAGAGGAAAAGACAAAAGAGGATATGTGTGACTCATGATGGGGACAATGGGCTATTAAATGAACACTACGCCAATTTTGGATAAGCACATACCCACGACGCGGACCGCCTATAAAACACAGCTTCCGACAGTTCTAGTGTAGGGTCTGAGGTTCTCACAGCGGTGGTTATGGGATGTAACGCCATGTAGTTTGTTGAAAATCAACAGACGTTTCGGAGGACGCTCTGCTTGCCACTTGATTTCACGCCGGTTTCTTGCTTGCCTTATTCTTCGACACCGAAGATGGTGACATGTTCCTCTGAAACGTCGGTTGGTTTCCAGCGGACTACACGGCGTTATATCCCATAAGATAGAACTCTTCTGTTCTACTATTGTTGTACCTGTATTTGTTGCTGCGAGAGCGTGTTTATCGGCCCTTGCCTAGAATTGGCCGCCTCTTCTGGCTCCACCATTCTGCCTCTTTAGGAGCCATGTCACACAATATATATATTGTCACGTGTGTTGCCTATGTAACGCGACAATAATTCACGCGGGTTTCGGATTTGGCTACTGTGTTTATTGGACGCTCACTTTTACACTTACAAGTACAATTATTCACAATCACAATTACTGCTTTGAAGCCAACTGAAGACTGAGTACTCTTCTAAGGTCAAATGCAAATTGAACTCGTTTGGACGCTCAAGTTACATTGCGACTGACGGTCGGTCAGTCAGTCAGTCAGTCAGTCAGTAAGTCTTGGTGTCGAGCCCCAGATATTCATTACCGTTTGACAATTACAGTCTTGTTTTTGTGGGGCACCCTCTCTGACGAGAGCATGGGTCTGTATATGCTGCTGGCCCTTGCCAGCGCAGTCTTTCTCGGTTCGAGTCCCTTGAGACTCGTGACCATATTTTACTGTCTCAGATTTGAGACTTCCCTTTTCGTCACCTCCTACGACTCTCAGGGTCACGGTGGAGGTATTCGACCCCGCCTCCACACGGGGACACGGGCAGTGAGTCGCAGTTGGACTCTTTATAACTTCCACGCAGACTCGATAGGGAATACCATCTGGAAGGATTCATTCCGCTCGCTGCTATCGAAACGTTGCTTCAACATTTCATGTGTAACGGTGGGAACTCCACTGTTAGGAATTGCTAGCGTTCTGATTCCTAGCCGCTGTCGTGGGAACTTTGGTCGTTGCCTAGGAAATCAACCCTGATCTCAACCATTCCGACTTTCTGGTGGCGCGCCACTATATATAATATACTATATATGTAGATATATACAGCAGAGTCTTTCATGAGAAGACAATAGTCACTAGGCTTCTCAAGAAATTTCCGCCTTTTAAGGTCTCCTATAGCAATCCGCTTTCGAACCCGAATGCTAAGCACATCATATCAATACACACCCTCAAGCCCTATTTATTTAAGATCCATTTTAATGTTATTCTTCCATCTATGCTGTCTTCGCACAAATGCTGTCTTCCTTTAATAATATTCGGTCAAAATATGTATGGATTTATTATCCCACTCATGCGTGCTCTGTGTCTCGCTCATCTCTTCAGGTATGTTAGGGCTTAAGTGAAATTAACAGATTTTAAAGTGAAGATCAAGAAATTTTAAATTTCATGCGGAGCTGTTTCTTAAACAACTGAACACTATCTGCTGTTCAGGAAATACAAGATAACAAGTAGTGGCTCAGGTCGTGACAAAATCATATCAGAAATGTTACCTCTTAGACGTCACTTTATTATCAGGAAGTATCAATTCGTAATCTTTTGAAAGCAAGTGACAGTCTATTGAAATCATCATCCTGAACTTCTACGAAAATATACTGCTTTGGTACGTCACAAATGTTGTCACAGAATATAAGTAACATGCAACACAATTGAATGAAATCGATCTATTTTCACATTTCTCTGTCATTCATTCATTCATTCATTCATCCATCAGTAATCTGTCAGACGACAGGTCCACAGTCTCTTCCAAAACAGTTCCTCCACTTAATGCGATCTTCTGTTTTTGGAAAGAGACTATCCAGGATGCTGATCTTTCGACGATGACACCTTCTGCCGCTTTACCCCCGGTGAAAGAGCCTCAGATACCCATTGGATAGGAGGTTGGGTGGACCCCACAGCCGGGCTGGACGACGTGGAGAAAATTCTTGACCTTACCGGGATTCGAACTCCGATCCCTCCGTCGTCCAGCTCGTAGCCAGTCGCTATACCGACTGCGCTATCCCGGCTCCTGAACATAATACTAACAACTAAATATACCTGGCTGCGGAACTAACTTTTGTGCGATGTCGAACACAAAACGTTGAGAAATCTCTGACTTAGTAGGTACATGTAAACTGTCACCAAAAACGGACAAGCAAGTCATTTTTATAGATACTAATGAGACATCTAGCAAAAAGAAACCACCTTCCAGATTAAAATGTTAAAAATATGAAATCTGACTAATATCTCATAATATATATTACCGCAGTCGTAATGATATGGAGTAATTAAGTCAAAATAAAAGGGAAAAGACCTGACACTGTAGCAAGGATTCTCCTAAAACTATTTCTTACCTTTCAACAACTAAAAAACTCCGTGGTTTTAGACAGAAAGCGAACTATACCGACCGAGCGACCGCCTCTTGTCGGCAAAGTTAATGCCAACTTTAGCGGATAGAGGGTGTCGCGTGGTCAGCGCAACGAATCCAAAAGGTCGTTAATCTCGGTTTTCCAGACCGGAGCCGCTATTTCCTTAAATATCTCCTCAGTTGTCTTCACGAGGCTGAGTGGACCCCGTTCAACACCCACTACTTCTCAGAAAATCTGGTAGCGCCTGGAATCGAACCCGGACCTCTGGATCTGTAGCCAGGAACTCTGACCACTAGACCACACAGGCACCTTTCGACGACACATGTTTTAATGTCTGCTGTTCTTCTGATGGAACTTTCTAACTGGGAACACTCATATAAAATTGATAAATATAAAGAAAATACTTCAGAAATATTAATAAAATGATGAAAGGACAATCACGATTCTAATATCATAAATCCAAGACATTATATCGGCAGTTCAAAACCGTAATCAAGGCCGTATCAGGAACAAGAAATAGCATGACATTCGATAACGACTAAAAGTTGTCACCTGTGTCTTTGATACATGTCAAGGTTTGATACATGAATGGCATTGTATTCAGCACTCATGTTCATGTTATATTTGTGAATTAATTTAAGATTTAGTCGGCCAAAGTGCATTTCACGCAAGTAGTATATAATGCAAGGAGACAGTCGTTTGTCAGGGTCATTTCAGCAGTTACACCCAACTACATAAGGACGCAGCACCGTCAAAACAAAACACTGTTCATGGCAGGTAAGGTGCAACAAACAAACAAAAAAAAATACTGTCACAGTTATAAAAAAATATCACCGCTAAATAACATATAGTATTTATTTGACATATGAAACATGTTTAAGAACTCAGAATTACCGGGTTTTTGGACTTTGTTCATCGTCCGGTATTCTATAAACTAGAAAACACAACGTTTCAGAAATTGTATCTGTTTCCTTCCTAACGTGAGGGTGGGGGAGACACCTATTCTGTTGGGTCCCTTATAAATAGCTAACTTCAATCACTGATTGACTGAAGTTAGCTCTTTCTAAGGGACCCAGCAAAGTAGGTGTCTTTCCCCCTCACCTTAGGAAGGAAACAGATCCAACTTCCGAAACATCGTGTTTTCTAGTTTCTAGAGTACCGGACGATGGACAAAATCCAAAAACTCAGTAATTCTGAGTGTTACACGCCACCGTCAGACCGTTTCTGTGGTCTAGTGGCCAGAGTTCCTGGTTACAGATCCAGAGATCCAGATTAGATTCCCCGCGATACCAGATTTTCTGAGAAGTAGTGGGTCTGGTACGGGATCCACTCAGACTCATGAGGATAATTGAGGAGCTATTTCAAGGAAATAGCGGCTCCGGTCTAGAAAACCGAAATTAATGGCCGTGGAGATTCGTTGGGCTGACCACGTGACACCCTCTATCCGCTAAAGTTGGCACTAAGTTTGCCGACAAGCGACGGTCGCTCGGTCGGTATAGTTCGCTTGCGGACTAAAAACCACGGAGTTTTTTTTTTTTGTTATACCCCAACGTCAGAACCTTTTAGAATTTCCACGTTTAAGCATATTATACGCTGTTGATTTATGTCGTGGATATTTGTAACTTTCTCCGAACATGCTGTTTCATCAGGTGGAGATTCAGCAGATAAATACAGGATGTACAATGAATGAGCATAAGAATATGCTGTTTACTTTATCGCAATATTAGGAAACTGAAAAGGGAGAAAGCTTTATGTAAGACGTTCAGCTTTCAACGTCGCGTAAACGTCTTCAGGTTCTCACTGTGATCACTACAAAGAGCAGTGGCTGCTCGTGGCTCAAATAGATTGTGGGGCTAATATGCGCTCGGTCTACATTCTTACGTTGTTATATAATAATAATAATAATAATTCCTGGTAAGCACTCCATAGATTCACTGCAAAAAACAGCTATCCTGGGAACATCACACATACTACGGAAAGTGCTACAGTGCGAAGCTTGAAGCCTGAGTGGTGAGGTGCATCACTGGTTCAAGAAAAGGAATACCAGGAAATAAACCTGTGACAAGAGATGATGATGATGATGATGATGATGATGATAATGATAATAATAATAATAATAATAATAATAGGTAGTAGTGATGTGAGTTGTAGTACAAACTCCTACTTTAAAACATGTGTTAGCAGTATTAGAAAATGTAAGCATGCTCCATTGCAATTCATGCCATTAATTAAAATAATGTTTTAAAAGTTACCTCATTTATACAGGAACTGCGCTCGTCTATTCTTCTTGGAAGCAAACAAATCAGTCACTTTTTGGTTGAATACCGGAATCTCTGCAATCATGTCTTTATGAATGCTAAGTACAGCCAGTGCCTTCAGACGTTCTTGACCCACTGAGTTCCTTAGATATGTCTTAACTATTTTTAGGGTGCTGAAGCAACGCTCGGATTCGGCGGTTGATATTGGAGTTGTAAGTACAATATCTGTCAGTTTGTGTATTTCTGACAGAGCGGCTTCCAGATTGTTCTCTCATATTAATGTCCAAAGAGCAAGAACTGTCTTTACGTTTGCAAATGTGTCATGCCTATAAAGGACACTAAGTTCGCTTTCGAGAGCATAGGACAATATTTTACAGCACTGATCACAAGCTCTCTAGGAAAGACAACTTCATGTGCTGCAAATAATTGCGGTTCAATTAATGAAAAACATTTTCTGTGATGTGCTTCTTCGAAACGACGTTTCATCTGGTTCACTGTTGCGTCACACGCCTCTTCAGCTTCGGCGCTTGTGTTCACATCTTTCCGCGCACGTTTTGTTGGACATTCTAGTTCAGGCAAATTGTTTCTGATGACGTCTATTGCAGTTTCGAAGTGCTGAATTGCAGTACGAATATCTAGAGCATTTCCTGACAATTTCTGTATTGTGTTGTACAGAATGTCTACATGTAAAAGAACATGATGACGAGCAGTGCTCGTAACGTAACGTAAATAACACCTGAGGATGGCACAGTGATGCCAAAACATGTAGTGAAGTGACATGTGAGATTGTGTGCACTAGAGGACGGTCAATACATACATATCATAAAAGAACGGAATTAAAAATGCCAACAAATATGAGAATTCCCCATCATTCAACAAATTAGCCAGTCCTATGGACTCTCGAATTGTAACATCATCCCAACCATCTTCATTTTGAATCATGTGTAAACACTGAAGCAGAGCATCATTGTTGCTGAAGACAGTATTTACAACTCTTGTGAAAGTTCCATCGCGTTTCCACAGTCTTCGGAATCGCCCGGCCACACACAGTTCGTAATAAATCCGACCGCTTGGGCGAAACAGAGAAGAATGATGAAAAGCCCGATATATTGATAAACAATTTCACCGATTTTACAGAGAAACATGCTTTCTTCATTACTAAGTTTAGCTGATGAGCGTAACAGTGGATGAAATGTGGATGAGGAAATGTATCTCCTATCTTTACCTGGACCCCGCTAAATAAAATAAATAAAAATAAATTTCATTTATTTCTGGTTTATTTGACGGCCTCTGTGGTCTAGTTATCAGAGTTCCTGGCTACAGATCCAGATGTCCCGGGTTCTATTCCCAGCGCTACCAGATTTTCTGAGAAGTACTGGGTCTGGAACGGGGTTCACTCAGCCTCCTGAGGATAATTGAGCAGCTATTTCAAGGAAACCCGAAATTAACGTCCGTGGGGTTTCGTTGCTCTGACCACGCGACTCCTCTATCAGCTAAAGTTGGCACTAACTTCGCCAACACGCGACGGTCGCTCAGCCGGTATAGTTCGCTTTCGGACTAAATCCACGGAGTTTTTTTTTTGCTTTTATTTAGAAAATCTGTAAATATCTCAGACTTCTTAGCGTCGGATCATGGGAAATGCATTGGAAAGGGCGAAGAAGGAACTGGTAGTGACTTAATTTACCATATTATCCTGGAATCTGTCTGGAGGGACTGTCGAAGACCAGAAAGTAGACCACTCAACATATTCGTTGTTCAACCAAACACAGAGAGTTCGTTACAAATAATCAGATGGAATAAACGCCCGTTGAATTTTTAAGCTGATGTGGAAATTAGACTGGAGTCGTGTTACAGTGAGCGGCGTATCTGCCAGTCTACATGCGTTCCGTTAATTATGAACGAACTGGCCCATTATGGTGAATATCATCAGTATGGTGATGGTACACTGTAAGTCACTTCTAAACTTACGAAATTAAGTTAATAATTAAAGGCAATTTGTATTAGAAAATTCTTATAAACAATAATCATATTAGTTTTACTTTTATATGTAACTGTCCTTTTTCCTAATCATGAGTTGTTACAAGGGTCGAGAAGTACTTGTGTTCTTCGTGAACTGCGCAAAGCTGGGAATTTAGCCAGCACTACTTCTATACAGGACTGATTTAAATTTCAGGTTAATTTTCGTAAATTATTATTCTTCAGTCATAACAAAAAATTATTTTTCCACCTTCTCCTGTACGAAGAGTACGGTATTCTGGGTTATAACCCCGTGTGCACGTAGTTCGGAGAAAGCCCGGAGATAGCGTGACGCCCACACCTGTTGCTATCTCGCTTGGCTTGCTCCGAACCACACGGAGAGACAACTCCGAATACTGCATTCTTCATAAACACTGCTGTGAGAAACTGATTCTGTCGCATTCTCCTCACATGTTACACTATACAAGACTGTAAACACATACAGTGTACACTTAATATGCGCGTTCAGAAGAAATAATTTATTATGAAACTTGCTTAACATCCAGGCTCAAGTATTTGTAGCGACAAGCTCAAATAGCTTACGTATTTGAGATACGCTCGATAAAACATGTATACCATGGTATGTGTAGGAGCCGGAATAGCGTAGTCTGTATAGCGACTGACTACGGGCTGGACGACCAAGGGGTCGGAGTTCGAGTCCCGGTAGGATCAATAATTTTGTCTTCAAGTCGTCGAGACCGGCTATGGAGCCCACCCAACCTCCTATCCAATGGGTACCAGGAGTTCTTTCCCCGGGGGTAAAGAGGTTGGTGTGTGAAGCTGACCACTCACCTCCAGCTAGTACCGAGGTCAAGATAATGGGGATCTACATATCCCCTCTCCCATACATCTTTATGGCGTAGTGCTTAAACAGTTAAGCACACGAACAACTTTAATTTTTACTTCACCGTGGCATGTAGACCCTCTGCTAGGCAACAAACGCAAAATAAACAACTAGACGACTGCCGTTACTAAGCAACGGCCCGTAAACAGCAACAGAGTAACAGTGTTTTCTGTGTGATCCGTGCCGAGATGTTACAAGCAGGACAGTTAGTGGAGTCAGTCAGTGCCAGTAGTCACTACACAGTAGAGGAAGCGTGGCCTGTAGAAGTCAGACCCCTCCTCTCGTTGAAAAGGAGGCCGCATTTCAAAGCACGTAAAATCCAGGAAAGAACCAAGAATGACTGTGCTAGCTAGGACCAACGGCAATATAATGGACTGGAGAGGGACCAGCTAAAAGTTAGTTCAGTGAAGAGTACTGGGTTAGTGAGTGAGTTAGAGGACTGCTGCGGTACAGTTGTGAGCTGTTTGTTAGAAGCTGGTAGCTGAGGCCGGGATAGTTCGGGAACCCAGAGGAAGGGGAACGTCCCCCGTTTGAAGCCGTTACCAGAAGACTGGGGAAGACACAGCAGACTGAGAGGACTTAATGCATTGCTCTAGTGAACTGTAAAGTGTGTGAATTAGTGAGAAGATTATAATTTCTTGTAGTCACGGATCCGTAAGTTCAATAAATCCAATTACCAATCCAAACCCGGTGTATATTCAGTAACATCACGTGACAATTCTATTATGTAAAATTACATTTTAACTACACATAATTGCTTATATGTAATATACAGCGATAGGATTAGGGCAGGACGACCGATGAATCAGGTTTCGATTCCCGGCAAGGGCAAAAATTTTCTCTTCATTATGTCCCAGTGCCCCCCCCAGCCTACTATTGGCTCGTTCTTCCAGGGTAAAGCGGCCGTGGCATGGAGCTGACCCCTCACCTCGATTTGGTGCCAAGGTCAAAAGTACGTTGAGCTGTAACTCCACTCCTCCCTACGTCTTCAAGGCGTGGGGCTTAATTAATTAAGCATGGAGACAAACTTACCTTATATACAAATTCGGGTGCGAGGAAACTCCCTCCTGGAAAATTTCGGGATAATTCCTCGATTAGGCAACCAATATTTCGTTCGGAAGCCTTCGAATTCATCAGTGACATGACCAGTCGATGCTACAAAGTCTCGGTAATAAAAGCGTCGTTAATTAATCGACGCCCCTTCTCAGATTATTGCGAACCTGATCTGGCCGAGGGCAGGTATTCCTGACGACACACTGCTTCGTACTGACTGCCTTCGGGATTCCGAAAATAAAACCACAAGATATTTTTGGGTTCATAACCGTAAATTCTATCGCAGAATAGTTTAACACAACGTGATGTAGTAAATAGAGGAATGACTAACTCCATGCAGCTGAGTCCTATTTTATAAGCCACCAGTCGATCAGCTACTCAAGGATCTTTCCAACATTTTTCTGAAACACAAAGGTGTACTACTTTGTTCACAAGAGCACTCCAATGGTCTCTATCCTGAGTCAGATTAATCTAGTCCATACAGCTACATTCCATTCCTCTAAGCTACATTTTAGTATTATCTTCTCAAGTCCAAGTCTTCCGGCTTTCCCATTAAAATTCTATATGCATTATCTTTACCCCATACATGCTATATGTCTTGCCCGTGTCATTCTCTTCATTTGACTAATCTAATTATACTTGGCGACGAGTACATGTCACGAAACTCCCATTTATGTATTTTTCTCCAGGCTCCACCCACTTCATCCCCCTTCAGCACAGGAATAGTACTGATCATAATTTTGAAATTACAGGAATTACGGGCAGCATCCTAGCTGTGCTGGGTGTTATATCGTTGTGTCTGCCTCTGTCTTCGGGGGCAAGCATTTCAAGGCATCGAACGAGATCCCCAGTCTGCGACAGAGGAGTGACCTACTACGCTGATCCCAATGACTGCAGCGCATATTACCAATGCATAGCAGGAGAAAGCGTTCGAATTGGCTGCCAACCCGGACTGCACTGGAACAAAGCTATCAGCACATGTGACCGGCCGGAACGTGCCGGTTGCTTGTTGCAAGTCCATGCTCAGGGAGACGGTGCTGACAGTAACACCAGCAATGAAAGCACATCACCACTAGACAGCGAGAGTGAAGAGAGCACACCAGAATNGCACACCTGCCTCAGGGAGTGAGAGTGAAGAAAGCACACCTGCACCGGAGAGCGGGAGCGAAGAGAGCACACCTGCACCAGAGAGCGAGAGTGAAGAGAGCACATCTGCACCAGAAAGCGAGAGTGAAGAGAGCACACCTGCACCAGAGAGCGAGAGTGAAGAGAGCACACCTGCACCAGAGAGCGAGAGTGAAGAGAGCACACCTGCACCAGAGAGCGAGAGTGAAGAGAGCACACCTGCACCAGAGAGCGAGAGTGAAGAGAGCACACCTGCACCAGAGAGCGAGAGTGAAGAGAGCACACCTGCACCAGAGAGCGAGAGTGAAGAGAGCACACCTGCACCAGAGAGCGAGAGTGAAGAGAGCACACCTGCACCAGAGAGCGAGAGTGAAGAGAGCACACCTGCACCAGAGAGCGAGAGTGAAGAGAGCACACCTGCACCAGAGAGCGAGAGTGAAGAGAGCACACCTGCACCAGAGAGCGAGAGTGAAGAGAGCACACCTGCACCAGAGAGCGAGAGTGAAGAGAGCACACCTGCACCAGAGAGCGAGAGTGAAGAGAGCACACCTGCACCAGAGAGCGAGAGTGAAGAGAGCACACCTGCACCAGAGAGCGAGAGTGAAGAGAGCACACCTGCACCAGAGAGCGAGAGTGAAGAGAGCACACCTGCACCAGAGAGCGAGAGTGAAGAGAGCACACCTGCACCAGAGAGCGAGAGTGAAGAGAGCACACCTGCACCGGAGAGCGGGAGCGAGGAGAGCACACCTGCCTCAGGGAGTGAGAGTGAAGAAAGCACACCTGCACCGGAGAGCGGGAGCGAAGAGAGCACACCTGCCCCAGGGAGCGAGAGTGAAGAGAGCACATCTGCACCAGAAAGCGAGAGTGATGAGAGCACACCTGCACCGGAGAGCGAGAGTGAAGAGAGCACACCTGCACCGGAGAGCGGGAGCGAAGAGAGCACACCTTCACCGGAGAGCGAGAGTGAAGAGGGCACACCAGAACCGGAGAGCGAGAGTGATGAGAGCACACCTGCACCAGACAGCGAGAGTGAAGAGAGCACTGAGAACACATCACCTCCTCCAACAGAGCCAGTGATCACAACAACAGACAGCAAGGAAGAATGCCCTAATGATGAGAACCCTCCCAAGTGCCCTTCAAAGGACGGTTTAAGTCCCACATATTTCCCTCATTCTGATCCTCAATGGTTCTATCAGTGCAGTCACGGACAGTTAATCTGCCTTGTATGTCCTCCCAAACTTATCTGGAATGAGAAATGTGATGCCTGTGACTGGCCTGATCTTAATGGCTGTATCGAGAAACCACCAACACCTCCACCAGAGAGCGAGAGTGACGAGAACACACCTGCCCCAGAGAGCGAGAGTGAAGAGAGCACACCAGAATCTGAGAGCGAGAGTGAAGAGAGCACACCTGCACCAGAGAGCGAGAGTGAAGAGAGCAGACCTGCTCCAGAGAGCGAAAGTGAAGAGAGCACACCTACACCAGAGAGCGAGAGTGAAGAGAACACACCAGAAGCGGAGAGCGAGAGCGAGAGTGAAGAGATCACACCTGCCCCAGAGAGCGAGAGTGAAGAGATCACACCTGCACCAGAGAGCGAGAGTGAAGAGAGCACACCAGAACCGGAAAGTGAGAGTGAAGAGAGCAAACCTGCACCAGAAAGTGAGAGTGAAGAGAGCAAACCTGCACCAGAAAGTGAGAGTGAGGAGAGCACACCTGCACCAGAGAGCGAGAGTGAAGAGAGCACATCCGCACCGGAGAGCGAGAGTGAAGAAAGCAAACCCGCACCAGGGGGGAGAGCAGTGGTAGCGAAGAGTAAGCACAGTTCCATGTTTTCTATACAGAAACACTGGCGTAACTGAGACTGCGATTTGGTTTGTCTTTGGTTTACGATGGAAATGTTACTTAGTGTGTCTTATGGTCTAAAATTGCTACAAATTGTAAATACCTCTACTTTTACAGGCAACTTACACAGCTCTAAATCTTATTTCAAAAGTAGAATAAATTGCACATGTATCATAATCTGCATTATTAATAAATGAAGAAGCAAGTATAAAGCGGAGTCTTCGCAATCGTCATTTAATAAGTAGCGGTACCCAACAATCTGCACAGTTATAATGCTCCCGACTTTTATTTTGCATGCTTCTGCTTATAGGTTATGCCACAGACCAACCTGTCTGATGTATTTATAATTGCCACATGTATTCGATATTATGTAGTCTTAAATCCCTCTATTTAAATCGGCCTTATAATCAATTATGCAGAGTGCAACAAAATTCGCGCACAAGTTCCCAATAATGCGATTCCTCGGTAGAAAAATATGTAAAAAAACATGGTAAATATTTATCATGTGAGGTTCTGTTTCAGTGATTCATTCTGGTTTCTTCCTTGGCTTATTTTTCGAGCTTCAAGATGAGGTGTTATGATACTCCGAAATGTCGGTTGATTTTCAACGGATTACACGGCGTTATATCCTGGAATATAGAAGTTTTCACAACTACCGCTGAGAGAACCTCAAACCCTACATAACTTGTCGAAGTTTCTGGCAAGACAATATTTATTATTAATTATAGGTTTAACCTCTAACAACATATACGCCTTACAAGATTTGCGCCACATTTTTTCTGGTCCTCGAACGATGATGAGGCGTATATGTAGGTTAAAATGATTGTCGGACGTCAGATGCTACGCTGCAGAGGAGCGGAACAAATCGAAACGGACCAAACCTTATTTTTGTTGTTGTTGTTGACGATGATGATGATAGGCGTCAGATTTGAGGCACTCACATTGGTGACTATAAAGAGTAAGGTTTTCTGGCTTGTAACGCTATGTAGTTCAGAGAGAGTCCGACGTTTCTAGGGAACATATCTCCTCCATTTTCAGGGTCGAAAAGCAAGCAAAAAAAAAAAACTGTTACTTCTTTCTTACACTTTCACTTTCGACATATATTTCGGCCCTAAATGGCCGTATTCAGGTGCCTTACTATGCTAAAACTACTACAGTGCGCTAATATTGTCCATTCGTCGGATATGCGACTGCACGCTTCGTGGTTTAAAACGTCATAATCGTAGTCAATTGGTATGCGCTAAAATAGCAATTTCAATAGATTTTATTGGGCTTAAATTAAGTGAACTACAGCGTGTGCTATTTCAGCGCATACCAATTGACTACGAGTAAAAGTAAACGTATCCCTGTAACAGGTCGTGGAGGCCCATAGGGTTGTGAGATGTTGAGGTTCCCACATTTTCCAGACAATCGGCTCGTAGATGTCGGCAAGGTTGTCAGTCCTACGCCCCGGCCGCCCTTTACCCCCAAGAATATTCAAAGAATACTCCTGGTTCTCATTTCTGTTAGAGGCTGAGTCGACCCCAGGGCCATAGTGCGGCTGGAAGGAACAGGTCAATTGAAAAAGAATCCAATGACCTCATCGGGATTTGAAATCGCGACCTTCCGGTTTGTAGCATAGCCCCTCAACCAACTACGCTACCGCTACAATAAACAGTTTTAGACATAGTAATGCAACATGATGCTTAAATACAGGATTCCAAACAACAAAGTAGAAGGAACACTCTGCAAGATGTGTGCGCCCACGTGGAAAATCCGCCCTTAAACAGGCCTGTCTCAACCCGAAAGAAATTTGGAGCCTATGGAAGAGGACCATGGCGTTAAAACCATGAAGACCGTATTGTGTTATGCACTGCTTCCCGACTTACATTCCCTAACTAGACCACTGAAGAATTTCCCAGGCGTCTATGGAACCAGAAAGAGCCGGGATAGCTCAGTCGGTATAGCGACTGGCTACGTGCTGGACGACCGAAGGGCTGGAATTCGAGTTTCCATGTCGTCCATACCGGCTCTGGGGCCCACCCTATCCAATGAGTACCGGAGGTTTCTTCCCCGGGGGTAAAGCGGCTGGGGCGTGAAGCTGACCGCTCACCTCCACCTAGTGCCGAGATCAAGAAAACTTGGATCTATACATTCACTCCCCATACGTCTTCATGGCGTAGTGCTTAATTAGTTAAGCACAGGGACAACTTTACCTCTCTACCTTATGGAACCCGAAGGTTCATTACCATGAAGAGTTCTATCTTCCAGTATATAACGCCATGTAGCCCTCTGAAGGTCAACTGACGTTTCGAAGGGATATGTCGCCTCTATATTCACGAAAAATAAACCAAGCAAGAAATCGGCATGAAGCAGGTAGCAATCAGAGCTTTTTTTCTTATACACTGAAGATGGAGCCAACATGAGCCTGCGAAACTTCAGTTGACTTTCGACGGACTACATGGCACTATACGTATCTTCTGATGATGGAACTTCTCATGCAACCACCTTTGTGAGAACCTCAAATCGTCCATTATCAAGCACAGAAAAACTGCAACTGGCTTATACTCTGCCAGATTAATCCAGCCCACAAACTCTCATCCTATTTCTTTGAGATCCATTTTAATACTATTCTCCCATCTACATTTAGGTCCTCCTAACCACATTTAAATAATATGCACATCTGATCTTAACATTAGCAACTAGAATTTTATAAATTTGTGTCGAATTTTAGGAAATTAAAAATAATGTGCAACTGTGGGCTCCGCGTAATCACAATCAGATGTTTAACACTATTATCCTAACCACCAATACTGATACAAAACACAGTTGGTCAGTCATGATTGTCTTCAGTTTCCACGAGATCCATGACACAAGACTTTTATTCTATCTTAGACTTGTACGTGTTTCGACAAAGGAGGGGTCAGTCTTCATATGTAGGAGCTACGTTTGTTGCACCGTAGTTTCAGCACGAGTATATCCGCGCTGTCACTGTGGGCTCTGTGCTCCCCTTTTCGCTGCACTGTACTAAGGGACACTTCCACAAGATTTACAGAGGTTTCCTGTCAACGAATACAAAATACAGATTTCCTGGAAGCTCTTTTACGTAGATGTCTTCACGATGATGATAGAGAAAATGACTGCTCACAGAACCACCTACTGTCAGAATTAGTACTACCTGCACCTTCATCGGAAATGGAACCCTTAACCTTCCGGCTCAAATAGTAAAGCTTCTTATTCATATTCCGGAGGTTCTTCGTTCGAATCTCGGCCGGTTCCACTATCCTTACCGAGAAATTTCCGTTTTCCGTATGAAATGAAATGCCGAATAGGACCATAATATTAGATCCTGAACGCTTCCTTCCAAATCCTTTTTTATTCATTATTCACTATTACCCAAACAATCGACGCTTCAAAGCTACAATCTGAGTTACTGGAAGCTTCGATAAACTAGAAACAAGCAAACACTAAAACGACGTGTATAGTTATTCTGTATTTCAGCATCCTGTTGCAAGTCTTTAATTAAACGTCTATGTATATCACAGTCCGTCAATAATGCAGCAATTGTTCTTTTTTTATATTCCTCCAATTTCACCATTTAACACTTAACACAACATGTTTCGGCCATAGATGGCCATCTTCAGGTGTCTCAATGTATCGAAATTGCTATACTGCTCTGATGTGCACTAAAACCACGCGCTGCAGGCCACTTAAAAATAAACTAAAAATAGTTAATTAAAATACACTAAAATTTTCTATTAAAAATTTTCTCATTACTTTTGTAAAATCCTATTCTACCTCATAAAGGGCGTCGTCCACTTGTTTGGAGCTATGCGATTTATTCCAGACGTTTTATTTCAGCGGGGACCGCCCCTGTGGTCTAGTGGTTAGAGTTCCTGGCCACAGATCTAGAGGTCCCGGGTTCGATTCCCCGCTCTACCATATTTTGTGAGAAGCAGTGGGTCTGGAACGGGGTCCACTCAACCTCGTGAGGATAACTGAGGAGCTATTTCAAGGAAATAGAGGCTTAAGTCTAGAAAACCGAAATTAACGGCCGTGGGGATTCGTTGCGCTGACCAAGCGACACCCTCTATCGGCTGAAGTTGGCATTAACTTCGCCGACAAGCGGCGGTCGCTCGGTCAGTATAGTTCGCTTGCGGACTAAAGCCACGGAGTTTTACTTTGTTTTATTTCAGCAGCTTGTTTTTATGTTCGTTAGCCCGTTGTTTTGCTACGTGTGCAATATGTAATGTGCCCCTTGCTTGTGTGTTGTTCCCTCTAGCAGCCGGTGGTGTTGTCTATACTAGTTAAGACAACAACGGGCTAACGAACATAAAACAAGCTGCTGAAATAAAACATCTGGAATAAATCACATAGCCTAAACAAGTGGACGGCTCCCTTATGAGGTGGAATAGGATTTTACAATAAGAAAAATTGTAATAAAAAAATTTAATGGATTTTAATTAATTATTTTTATTTTATTTTAAGTGTACTGCAGCGCGTGGTTTTAGCGCACATCAGAGCAGTGTAACAGTTTCGATACACTGAGCACATGAAGATGGCCATCTATGGCCGAAACATGTGTTAAAATGTTAAATAGTGAAATTGGAGAAATAAAATAAGGAACAATTGTTGCATTACTGACGGACTGTGATATATATACATGTATATAGACGTTAATGAATAGTGATATTCTGTATTTCTGTGGTGGTGTGCTTTATACAGGGCGATTCACTCTGATGTCCAAATTAATAATTATAAAAATTAATGGATTAATATACCGATGAAAACGAAACATGGCGATTTAATTCCTCAGTAGGTGGGGAAATAACTTTGTTGCACAAGATGTTGAAATTAGTTTCTCTTCTCCTGGAGACACAGACCAATGCAACGTTCTATATTCCCGAATAATACAAGAATATGGAAGGAGGTTTAACATCAGCATCTGACTGTGTCGCCAGGTGGAGGGAAATCAATTTCAGAATTCTCCTTAACTCTGTTATCTTCACATCTGCCAAGGCATGTACTCAAAAAGTTTCGTTGTCATTGGTAAATTATTGCGAAATTGATAATTGTTAATTCTGGTTCTCGTCCGAATGAATCACCCTGTACTACAAGAGCTGACGTCATGAAATGAAGTCACAATATTGTTTCTTATTTAAAACTCACAATCAGGCCTGAGGTATTATCAGAGTCATTGTCCTGAAAAATACTAAACGATGTTGCACAAA